TCTCAGTTGGGAAATAAAATCTCAGAGGGTGACAAAATGTTCTCCCAGTTGTGGTGGTGTTCACAGGATGAGGGAAGAGATGAGGATCTGACTCCATGTTTCAGATAGCTGATTTATTATTTTATTATATATATTATATTAAAATGATATATTAAAACTATACTAAAAGAATAAAAGAAATTATTTCATCAGAAGGCTTGAAAGGAAAGGAATGAAATGATAATAAAATCTTGTGACTGACCGGAGAGTGTGAGACTGTGATTGGCCATTAATTAGAAACAACCACATGAGACCAATCCCAGATGCACCTGTTGCATTCCACAGCAGCAGATAATCAATGTTTACATTTTGTTCCTGAGGCCTCTCAGCTTCTCAGGAGGAAAATCCTGGCAAAGGGATTTTTCAGAAAATATCATGGCTACACCCAGTCACTGCCTGTATCAAAAGGATTTCGTTATAGTGGATATTTTCTTCAGTGGTACCTGCTCAGGCAGCACATGTGCTGCTGCAGGTGGATTTTTGCCTCTCTGATGTGACATTTGTTGGCTCATGTGCCTGGAATTTGGATTTAAAACTATTTAACAAATACTTCCATTCAGCAGGCTGTCCTCATTGTAAAAAAACAAGTAATTAGAATCAGCAAGTGCACTTTTTAATGCTGCTTTTCAGGCTTCTGTGGTTGCTGCTAGGGGAAAAAATGTTCTTTATTCTTGTGCTTTAGGTTTTTAAAATCCTGTGTGTATGTTCAGATTTGTTACCCAAACCTGAATTTGCCATTGTGGCACCATGAAAGGTGTCTGCCACACAGGGGGAAGAGAAATGTTCAAATCTTTCCTTAGCAATAGATTTGGTCATGTTAATGTGCAGCACTACAAAAAATATAAAAATAATGTACCTGAAACTCCTGCAGCTGTGACCTTATTAATATTTTGTTAATTTTATAAATATATATATTAGTTTTAAGGTAATTTCTTATGGTTTTATATAAGCATTTATATTTATATAATTTCTGATATCTATAAATAGTATGTCAAATAATATATAAATATTAATAAATAAAAATATAGTATTATATAATGTAATAATATATAGTATAAATACTATATAATATATATTATATACTATATACGATATATTATATAGTATATAGTATATATAATGTATTATTATATACTATATGTTATATTATATAATACAATATATATCAATATATATTGTCTTATATAAATATAACAATATATTATATATAATATATGTAAATAATAATAGAATATATAAAATAATATTATATATGGATAATATTATATAAAGTAATATAATATATCAATAATATATAATGTAAATTTTAATTTGTGTAGTTATATATACATTTTGTTTTACTTTCTTTTTCTTTAATGATTTATTAATTTTTTTTAATTTTATTGATATTAATACTTTAAAAGGCACCTAATGAGAGACTTCCTGGCATTGTCCACACTGATGACAACACAAAGGGCACTTGGATTAATCCTCACTGCAGACTCAAATCCCACTTTTTGGGAGCAGGGATAAAAGCAGAGTTTGCTGAATCACAAACCCAGCCAGGTTTAAGGACTCCTTGATGGATGAGCTGTACGTAGGAAGTTTGCACTCAATTCCCTGCTCTGCTCATAATATTTGCATAGCCCAAGGTGGTTTGCATCTTTTAATAATTTTTGCCCCTGGGAAGAGACCAGAATATCTCAGTGGTGGTGTTGTCCCTGCGTTTCTCTGAGGTGCTGTAATAATTTCAGATAAAGCTGAGGTTCACTGTGCAGCCTGGGGATGGTTTCATCGGGCCATGAATTCTCATCTGTCCTGCAGCACCAAAAATCTGAGTTGTGCTTCCTCCAAAAATGTTGGGGGAAAAAAGCCAAAAGGCCAAAATCCCCCACCAGGGTGAAGAATTCCCACAGGCAGGGCTGTGAGCACACTCCAGGCTTAGAAATTGGTGTCTGTGCAAGAGACTGCTGCACTTGGGTTGTTTTAGTGGGATTTTAAAACCCAGAATTCTCATGGAATGTGTAAATCCACAGTGCAATCCCCACCGTATTTAGTGGGTAATGCTGAGAGGACACATCTCCAAAAAAATGCTGAAGTTGTTCAGTTCTCTGTATTGCATTGTGAATGTTTGTGTTATTTCATTTATCTCAGGAATAAAAAACCTAAGAAAAATACAAATAAATGCTCCCAATATTGTTTTTTTTAAATCCTTTTTCCTTTTCAAGTCATGCTTATATTTATCAGTCATTGCATACACACACCAAATCCCTATGGCAAAAGAAATCTTTCACCTATGAAGAACAATTTCTCTAGATTCTCTAGACTGCTGCGCTTGGGTTGTTTGAGTGGGATTTTAAAACCCAGAATTCTCATGGAATGTGTAAATCCACAGTGCAATCCCACCATATTTAGTGGATAATATTGAGAGGACACATCTCAAAAAAATGCTGAAGTTGTTCAGTTCTCTGTATTGCATTGCGAATGCTCATGTTATTTCATTTATCTCAGGAATAAAAAAAACCAAGAAAAATACAAAGAAATCCTCCCAATATTGTTTTTTTAAATATTTTTTTTTATTTTTTAATTCATGATTATATTTATCAGTCATTGCACACACATACACCAAACACCTATACCAAAATAAATCTTGAAAGTATGAAGAACAATTTCTGTAGATTCAGGAAGAGAGCATGAACGGCTAATTTTGTTTATTTTAGAAAAATAAGTGTGGTCACAAAGGGGCCAAATGTTTGATAATCACCTTTTATATCTTTTCATAGTTGTGTTTCAGTTGTTTGTTTGTGTTTTTTGATCCCTAATTATGTGTTAGATAGTTTTGCATGAAGAGCTGAGTGAGGATCCCAGTCTATTTTTATCATTAAGCTTAGAATCCTGTCAGCTAACTATAAATATGGTTTTCAACAAGCCTAAATTCCAGTGTAAGAGCTCATGGGATGTGTTTTGCTGAAGAATGTTGTTGGGCTGGGCAAGTTCCCACGCTTTTATCAATGAATTGGGTGTTTGAGACCATTAGGAATTGTTAAACTGGGAAGGAGTGAGATTGTTGTGAGAGTAAATTGTGATTTGATGAATTCTGATGGGAGTATTTCCATTTTTGTGAAAATACTGCCTCTTCTGAATCCTGGTGATCGTTTCCCTGTCACACATTCTGCTCCTTTCTATTTGAATGTTTGGTTTTGAGGTTCCTGCATCAATCCTGCTCTGCTCCTTGAGGTTCTGCAGGAAAAGTTCTGTTTGGATGAAATGATGAGAACATGGATCCAGGCTGATCCTGGTGATCCTTTCCCTGTCACACATTCTGCTCATTTCTATTTAAATGTGTGGCTTTGGGATCCCTGCATAAATCCTTCTCTGCTCCTGGAAGTTCTGCAGGAAAAGTTCTGTTTGGATGAAATGATGAGAACTTGGAACAAAAATAAACAATGGATCCTGGAATTGCTCAGGCAATTCCTTCCATTTTCTGCCTGCCTGCTGTCCCAAAAGGTGTAGGATTGGGGTCATGTTTGATATTTATCTTCTCTTCCCTCAATCTGCATCTCCCTGCTTTGAAATCAGCCTGGCAACTCCTGCCCTAAAGCTGAAATAAATTCTTCACGCTCAATCCTTGAGAGGAATATCAACTAAAACGTCACAGTTCTTGTAGGAGCTTGTAAAATTGTCCAAATAACAACTGAACTGGGAAAATTAAAGCAGAAAAATAGAGAAAGGTACAAGAGCCTCAGAATCATGGATCTCTGGAGGCTGGGGGATGTTGGGCTTGGACACCTTCGCAGGGAATTTTTCAGGCTGGCCCAGCATGGTTCTTTCCTTGCCCTGATATTAAAACAGGCTTTACTGTGTTTTGTGGTGCTCAAATGCTGCTTTCATGGCTGTGCAGCCAAGCTTTCCTTCTGGCCCTATCATCTGGCATAAAAAATGTGTTTAAAGCAGGAAATCTTAAACCTGATTATATAATATATATACAATATAAGATAGACATGCTATATTATATGTTATATAATAATATAAATATATTATAAAAATATATTATATGTAGATAATAATACAATATATAAAAATAATATTATAATATTTAGTGTTATGTTATACTATGTTATGTTATACTATGTTATACTATACTATACTATGTTATACTATACTACATTATATTATACTATGCTATATTATACTATACTATATTATATTATACTATATTACATTTATTATAATAATTGGTATCGTGTATTATATAAATTATATTATATATAGTATAATTTAGATAATATAATTATATAGATTACATTAGATATAATTATGTTTTATTTTGAATATATATTTTCTATATAATTATGTTTTATATTATATATGTATCTTATGTCTTCTTCTTTACCTATCATCTGTCATAAACAATGTATTTAAAGCAGGAAATCTTAAACCTTATTATACAATATATTTTATAACATATAAATGCTATATTATATATTATATACTAATATAAATATAATATTACTATATAGTATATATTATATATAGATAATAATACAATATATAGAATAATATTTTAGAGAAATAATATAATATTTAGAAGTATTATATCATATCATATCATGTTTTATTTTGTATATATTATATTTTACATATAATTATGTTTTATATTATATATATGTTTTCCTTCTTGCCCTCTCATCTGGCATAAAAATGTATTTAAAGCAGGAAAACTTTAACCTTATTATTTAATTAATACTTAATATAATTAATACCTAAATGATTTCTCTTCCCTCTTGATACCTTTCCTCACTGTAGAGACTGAGTTGGCAAAAATTATTGTTTTATTCTCTGTCATTTTTACCTGTTTGCAGTATCCAGGCATTTTCTGAGTGCTCAGAAACATTCTGCTTTTATTTTGCGAGCCAAATATGAGGATGAATCAGATTATGGGTATTACATGTGAAATTCTTCTCTGTTTGTTTCTTTGGCAGGTCCTTGAGCAGTATGAACGAGAAGGGTTTAATTTCCTAGCCAAAGTTTTTAATTCTTCACATTCCTTCTTGGAAGACTTGACAGGTCTGACTTTATTACACCAGGAGACACAGGCTGCTGAGGTAAGCAAATGAAATTTGGATGTTAATTAATTATGAGATCAAATGATAGAATTAAGCAGTGGTATTTCATTTACAGAATGATTGACACAATGATTTACACATTCTCTTAAATTAACTGTAACTTTATCTGAGTGTTTAAATATTATTTTTAAAGGAAACAGGTGACTTGGGTTGTGTGGTGTGAGGAAACCAATTGCAATTTTAGGTCAATTAAAATGTAATTATGCTGCTTGATGGGTTATAATATGGGGAGGAAAAATGCTGTTTACCTGCCCAGTGACAAAAAATGGAATGTGGGCAGAAACTTGGGGATGTTTGATCCCATGGACAGCAGCACTGGTGATAACTCAATATTGACTTGTGTTCCAGAAAAAATCAAACAGCTGCCTCCTAATATTGTATTTAACAGTGATTTGTGTTCCTTCCTCCCTCTGCCCATATCTCTACCCTTGTGCATCACCATTTAATTCTGGCACAGCTGTATCCCAGGGTTGCTGCTGCAGCAGGGATTATTCAGTCCCTGCAGGCTGTGCAAGGGCTGCAGCTGTTTTTTCAGCTGGAAAGGGCTCCACAGTGGTTCTTAATAAAGTTTGGGGTGGATCATGATGACTTGGCTCTCTGTTTCATGTTAAACCTTTGAAAAATAATTGTAGCAGATGCTGGAAACAGCTGTAAAATACGTAATGCATTCTGAAATCAGCATGGGCATACCTTGAAAAATTTCTAGGTATTTCTAGGTATATCTAGCTAATATATATGTATATATGTATATATATCCCTTATATATATCTTATATATATATTAACTGTATATATTTAAATATAAATATATATAATATATTATATCTCTTATATCTCATATAAATATATTATATATATATATTTATATATATTTTATATATCTTATACCTTATATAAATATATATTTTTATATATTTATATATTTTTATATATTTTATATATTTTATACATTTTATATATGTTGTATATATTCTATATTATAGATTTTTATATATATAGTATATATGTGTCTGTATATATGTATATATATCCCTCATATATATATATTTTATATGCTATAAATATTGTATCTATTTATAGTATTATATTATTATAATATTATCATATATATGATTTTTATCTAATATAAATGATAATATATATAATATATAATATCTCTAGTATAAATAATATATATAATATATATTATAATATTATAATATATAAAATTTTATTCTATAATACTAAAATATTAGATTTTTATATATTATATATATTCTATATTATTTATTTTTTGTATTTATTCAAAATATAGACATTTTTATATATATATAGATATATATAGATATATAGATATATATGAGGGATCCAAGAAGGGAAAACAAGCACCCTTTGACACCTGCCACTCATTAACAGCTGGAATAATTAAAGTCTGATTGCCAGGCCTGAACTTCAGTGTTGGTAATGTAAAATGTAAAAACAATTAAAATTAGTCATGTATTATTTAGCAGGTATTAATCCATAAATCCCTTTTGCAGTTTCAAAATAGGTGTTTGTTAATGAGGTTTTAGATATTCTCTACAAAATATAGAGTCTGGTGGGACTTACTGCAACTTATTGCAGTTCAAAGTTTTGCTTAAAACACAGAATTTGTGTCCTTTCAAAAATCCTGGGGTATTTTAGTGAAGTTTATGCAGTGAAATCACTGCTCAGAGGTGGAAAATCTGACATAAAATGTATTTGCAGAGCTCATGCTTTCAAATTAGGATAATTGCCATCAAACCAGGGAGCTTGCTTGATTCTTCCCTCTAGGATTGCTGCATTTTTGGGAAAATCCATCTCTTTCAGCAGTTGAGTAGTCTTGGTGAATCTGTGTTTCTGAATGGCATGGGCTGGCAGGCAGATTATTTATGGAGATTCTGGAGCACCCCTGCTTGCTTTGGGTTAAAAACCAGCTCTTTTGTTACACTTTGCCACTGAAAAACATTACATTGCGGCTCTGGTTGTGTTGTGCTCCTTCACAAGTCTCCCAGTTCATCATCTGGGGCAATTCTTAATTTTTTTAAGTGCACAAGAGAGTGCTTTTAATATCTTTTCTGCAGAATTATTCTCCTTTAATATCTTTTCTGCAGAATTACTCTCCTGCCTTGAGCTGCTTTTCTCTTGTATTTTGAGCTCCTTTTTCTCACGCTGCAGCTGGGGATTGTGAGTCTGTAAAATGATTTTTTTGGGTTTCTGGCTGCTTTGGAGCTGCTCTTGGCAGATTATTCCCTAAAATGGAGCCATTGGAGTTTAAGTTTGGTGCTCCTTTGATTTGAAATATTCTCATTACACTCTAAAGACTGCAGCAAAAGCACTGAGGGGTTTCACCAGGTGTGGATGGCCTGGTTGGGGATGGGAATGTTTCATTTTTCTGGTGGGAAATTCTCTGCTTTTCATCACTCAGAGAGATTTTGTGGATTATTGATGCGTTTAGAGGCCATAAAATGGCTTCTGGTAACTGCAGATTTTCCTTTCCTCCTGTCTAGTAAAACCTATCCAGAACTATAAAGAAAATAGACTTGTAAAGTTAGATGTCATCCAACCTCTTATTTACCCAGTAACATCATAATTGGGTTGTAATTCCATATATAAATCCCTGATATTTCCCTAATAAACCTGCATCTGATAGGGGAACCACTCAATCTTGTGCTTGTTTTTAGAAGGTTCTCTGTTAAAATGTGCATTCACTAAGAGCATTTCATTGAACATTTTGCCAAGAGTGTTTTGGTGTGGTCAGAAAAATGTTGTGCTTCTCTTATGTTTCAAATTTTTTAAAAATAGTTTTTATTTTTAGTCCACCTAAATGCTTTGCTGCTTTCATGATGTGTGTGTAAAAGTGCTTTAATGAGGATTTTTTTTTTCTAAATTTTGAGTTTGCCTAAAAGAGAATCTAGATAGGTTGTGCATGTTCTGTAGGAATGAATGTTAAATACATCATTTTTGGATATTATAGCCTGAATTTCCATGAAAACTGCCCCCACATTATTAGCACCAAGTGTGTTTGCCCAGATTAAAGGAACACAATTTGCACTTAGTGAAAATCTTTTTTTACTTGCACTGTTTAATTCTTATTCCAGGGCTGTGCTGTTGACCATAATATTTTAACATGTCCAAAGTTTTAATACATTTAAAACTTAATTAACCTAAACATTTAATACAATTTAAAAAATGTTTTAAATTTTAATACGTTTAAATGGATTTAAAGTTGATACAAATTGCAGGATTTTTAGTCAACAGAACACCTATTTCTTAAATCATAAATGCTCTCTGTGACATTTAAGGAACACAATTTGCAATAAGATATGAGAGACCTTTCACTTAGTGAAAACCTTTTTTTACATGCACTGCTTAATTCCTATTCCAGGGCTGTGCTGTTGGCCATAATATTTTAACGTATTTAACATATTTAAATAATTTTAAAATAATTTTAACATATTTAAGTATGTTCGAAGTTTTAATACATTTACAACCTAATTAACTTAAACATTTAATACATTTCTAAAAATATGTTTAAAATTTTAATACATTGAAATAGGTTTAAAGTTGATATAAATTGCAGGACTTTTAGTCAACAGAACACCTATTTCTTAAATCATAAATGTTCTCTGTGACATTTAAGGAACACAATTTGCAGTAAGATATGAGAGACCTTGCATTTAGTGAAAATCTTTTTTTACTTGCACTGTTTAATTCCTATTCCAGGGCTGTGCTGTTGACCATATTTTAATACATTTAAATATGTTCAAAGTTCTACTACATTTAAAATTTAATTAACTTAAACACTTAATACATTTTTTTAAATGTATTTAAAATTTGAATACATTTAAATATGTTTAAAGTTGATAGAAGTTGCAGGATTTTTAGTGAACAGAACACCTATTTCTTAAATCCTAAATGTTCTCTGTGACTTCCTTAGCATGCCAATTAATAAATAATAACACCATCAAGCTTTCCTACCCTGTCCTGAACTGACAGCACATTTCAGGCATCTGCTCCTTCTACATCTGGCTTTAATTTGGGTTCTCTGGAACATTTTTTTGTATTTTTTTTTCACATTTGGACCTTTTTGTGCAGCTTGGGCAGCAGGCTGTGATGCCCCAGGCCAGGGGAGCTGTGGGAAACTCCCCTGTCAGCACTCAGCCCTGGTTCCCCTGCATTTGTTCATCTGGGGAGCTGCCTGAGCTGATGGGAGCTGGGAATTTCTGTTTTCCACATCACTCAGGCTCCTTTCTGCAAAGCTCAGCTTTTAAACTGACCCTTGCTCGCCCTGCAGTCAGGTTTAGTGGCTGGGCTTAAAACAGAGGCAGCCTGAGCATCCTTGGGCTGTTCATCAGGGCTGGGGTGGGGAACTGGAGGCAGAAAAGGGAATAATTTCCAGGTCATAGCTTGGCTGGGCTGCCCAGGACTGTTCCATATCAATGCGTCCCTAAACCAAACTGCTTTGCTCCCCATATATTCCAGATTAACCCTGAAAAGGGTTAATATATAGATGTATAGATGTAAATATTCTATTCTATTCTATTCTATTCTATTATGTTATGTTATGTTATGCTATGCTATGTTATGTTATGTTATGTTATATTATGTTATATTATATTATATTATATCATATCATATTATATTATATCATATCATATCATTATACTTATATATTATATATATCATATATTGTGTATAGTATATATTGTATACTGTGTATGCAATATATTCATGCAATATATTCTATATTATTATACATATTATATTATATATTATGTATCGTATATTATATATTATAGATATTATATATTATATATTATATATTATATATTATATATATTGTGTATAATATGATATTATATTATATGATGTGATAATATAATATAATTAATATAATATAGACGTAGATAATGTATAGATGTAAATATGCTTTTCCTCTGAAATTTCTAATTCAATCTCAAGTTTTCTCATCCTAATTCA